CGATGATCTAGAGAATGACCATGATGAGATTGCCACTAACTATGTGGAATTGGGTGTGTCATATAATTGAAAGACCACTATTGTCGACATATATTTCGCCTCAAAAATTGCTGACTCATTGGATCCGGATCCAGAACCAAAGTCCATGATTGAGTGCCGAAAGCGCTCAGATTGGGACAAATGGAAAGGAGCAATTGAGGCAGAATTGTGCTCGCTTTGCCAAAGGAAGGTATTTGGGCCTGCAGTCCTGACACCTCCTAAAGTCATCCCTGTAGAATGTAAATGGGTCTTCCTCCGGAAGAGGAATGAACATGGCCATGTGGTAAGATACAAAGCGAGGCTAGTGGCACAAGGGTTCACGCAGAGACCCAGAATTGATTACGAGGAAACTTACTCTCCCGTCATAAGTAGCATAACGTTCCGATATCTTATATCTATAGCAACTAACTTAAATTTAAAAATGCAGTTGATGGATGTTGTGACCGCATACTTGTATGGGTCACTTGATTCGGAAATATATATGAGAGTCCCTGAAGGACTTAAGATCCCTGGACCTAATCAAAACCGCAACGTGTATAGCGTTCGCATGCAGCGGTCGTTATATGGGTTGAAACAATCCGGAAGGATGTGGTTCAACCGTTTGAGTAACTTTCTCTTGAGGAGAGGTTATGCAAACAACGATGATTGTCTCTGTGTGTTCATAAAGAAATCCGAGAATGGATTTTGTATCATCTCAGTTTATGTCGATGATTTGAACATCATTGGAACCACAAGGGACATTGAGGAAGCATCAACTTACCTCAAGGCGGAGTTTGAGATGAAAGACTTGGGCAAAACCAAGTTTTGTTTGGGCCTGCAGCTCGAACACCTCCCTAAAGGAGTGTTTGTACACCAGTCCACCTATACGAAGAAGGTACTTGAAATGTTCAATATGGACAAGAGCCACCCTCTGAAAACCCCCATGGTCGTTCGATCATTGGAGGTAGATAAAGATCCGTTTCGACCCAAGGAAGAGGATGAGAAACCTTTGGGACCTGAAGTCCCATACCTCAGTGCCATTGGACCACTAATGTACCTTACAAATTGCACACGCCCAGACATTGCATTTGCAGTGAACTTGTTGGCTAGGTACAGTGCCGCACCTACTCGAAGGCATTGGGTCGGCGTGAAAACCATCCTCAAATACCTACAAGGTACTCGGGACCTTGGGTTGTGGTTTCCAAGAAAAGGGGATTTAACTATGGAGGGATATGTTGATGCTGGCTATATGTCTGACCCACATAATGCCAGATCACAAACTGGTTTTGTGTTTCTCTGTGGTGGTGCAGCCATTTCATGGTGGTCTGTAAAGCAGACTCTGGTTGTCACATCTACCAACCACTCAGAGATAATTGCCCTATATGAAGCTGCACGAGAATGTGTTTGGCTCCGACGGATGATCAATCACATCCAGAAGTCATGTGGTATGAATACAATCGACACCCCCACCATTATCTATGAAGATAATGCAGCTTGTGTTGCACAGATGCATATGGGCTATTTAAAGAGCAATCTCACAAAACACATTGCTCCCAAATTCTTTTATCCTCATGAGCTCCAGGAGAGTAGGGAGATAAATATCCTGCAAACCAGGTCATGTGAAAACCTCGCAGATTTATTCACAAAATCTCTGCCAGCTTCTAGCTTCTATAGATGTGTTCGTGGAATTGGCATGAGACGGCTTGGGGAATTGCAGGGTTCAGGGAGAGACAAACCCTGAAACCTTGGCCCATGATTGTGATCCCGAAGATCACGGGTTGGTCCTGAAGGCCTAACCCAATATCAACTATTGTACTCTTTTTCCCTTGATGAGTTTTTTTTCCCACTGGGTTTTCTCATGCAAGGTTTTTAATGAGGCAACAGATGCAACATAAGTAAAGCTTGTGATGTACTTTTTTCTCCTACCTCTTTTTTCCCACTGGGTTTTGGAGGGGAGTTTTTAACGAGGCATACACATGGCATAAATTTGGACAAGGGGGAGTGTTGTGAATCAAAGTCCAAGTAAGTTTAGAACTCCAGAGAACAGTATATAAATGGAGGACTTTGAATGGTGGCCAAATTAATGAAGAGAGGAGGAAATTTCAAATAGTTCAAACACTGTGCTCTTGTATTCATCTGAGTCACTCCTATTATAAATAGAGGGTCCCTTTCATTATGCTGTAACAAGTGAAAGTAAAAGAAATAAATAGAGCACTCCTCCTCCTCCCTATATCCTGTGTTCTTGTTCCTGTGTTTCTAAATTCCTGTGTGTCTGTGCACAACAAAAGAACACGATTTCATAACAGTAAGGAATTTATTTCCTTGCACTCCCCGTGTCCTCGCGCTAGTAGGGTCACGCCCACTGTGGGTTTCGTTTCTTTCACTTGTGTCTCCATCCAATTAAGCCACACATATATGGGTGCTTGCACTGTGGGGTGGGTGTCTTGGGACCAACTTTTTAGGCTAGGGGTACGGGCCCCATAGCTTGCACTGTGAGAGGCCTAATCACAATGGTGTAGACCGCGTGCTGAACTAAGCACATTGCTGCCACTCAGGTAGTCGTAGCTATGGGTGGCAATGAACTACTCAATCCATTCCTTCTCTCTCTTCAGAATATGTGCAGTAATGGACTTTTCCACCCGCACTTGCAGGTGATTGAGAGCCCTAAACACATTCCACGCCGGAAGAGGCTCCTCTAACTTTAAGTTAGAGGGACATGGGAGCCACATGTCAGCGACACATGTCCCTCTAACTTTAGAGGAGCACCTTCCTTCTACATCTGCACAACATCCATTACTTTTTATATACTCATCATCTCACACTAACACTAAAATTTTAGACATAGTTGCTCTGTGATTAGTTCCTAATAATTTATGTTTCCTTCTATACTCTAATCATTTCTTATTTAGCTTATGCAAATATTATTTTCTTAAGGGTTGTTAAGTGATATTGCTTTGACAAATGTTCTCATATTCTCGATACTTCATGAATTATGCATGTTGTTTCTTAGTGTCCAATTATATGGGGATTCTCTTTGCTCAAGTTGATGTAATTTCAACATACGTGAAGGTTGGACTATATACAATATGGATTTGATTGGTTAAGAGTGGTCAGGTCTGGTGAAGCTTGCTGGATTCGGTTGAATTTGACGAACGCTTTGGTATCGCAAGCTGGGGGAGGAGAGATGGAAATGAGAAGCGTGTTGTGAGTGGAAAATAATGGAGGGTAGGCCCTACATAAATTGTAAACAAAAGTCTAAATACTAGAGAAAATTTGCAGAAATTAAACTTAAACTCTATGTATCAGAATGAGGAAAAAAACACTTACATCTTTCCAGTTGCATCAAGTGATGGTGATCTCGTCTAAGAAAAGGGGGCATGAACCCTAGGGTTAGAGAAGGCCGGAGGGAAATAGCGCCACAAGTTTTGTGGATGGCGCGGCGGTGGCGTTGGACGCGGGGGTGATTGCGGTGGCGGTGGTGGCTGTCGGAGGAGCTGCCGAGGACAGCTCGCGAATGAGGGCATCGAGGGCCTCGGGGTTGGCGCCACTGTTGGCGGTCGCACAGCGCCATGAGCAGCGATAGCGTGTGGCGGTCGCAACTAGTGTCCAGAATCTGGGACTTCCAGAACGCTAGCTCCAGCGACTCCTTCGCATGCCTTGCCACCACCGACTCCATCTCCATCTCATGCATCGTGTCACCTCCGGCCTCCGGTGGGTGGTGGGTAGCTCTATGCGCGAATGCCCCTTTTTATGCTTGCAAATTTGCCCTCTCAAGTGGTACATTCAACTATGAGAAAATTCCTTCTGTATCCCTGAAATTTTAGCCGATCCCTTCTATGCCCCTAAATTTTCTTCACTCACTTGTATATCTCTAAAATTTGATTTGGATCCTTTCCATACCCTTGCCGTTAATTGACTGTTTAATATGTGTAGAAAAGTCAGTTTTACCCTTCACTATATAAGGAATATGTAGAAATTTATGGACTATATTGTTTGAAGTATAGAAAATTGTTTTGTGACCATAATATTCATAAGCTTATTGTACATAGAAATTTTAATATATATTAAAAAAGTATGTGTAGCATTTCTTTAAATGATAAACATAGCTTTGGAAAGCATTCCTATATAATATATACAACAAGAAAAAAATATGGTGAACTACCTAAAATACTACATATACTCTTTTAATAAGTAAATAAACAGTAATTTTAAATCATTATGTAAAAGAAACTTTACCATGAATAGTTCCTTGTACAATAAAATCATGAATATAGTAGTTTTATATAACAAAATTATACAGTTACAACAATATAGCTAGTCTACAATTTTCATGTTTCATTCATATCTAAAGGCAAAATGGTCCTTTTCATAGGAATTAAATAGTCAATTAACGGTCAATTAATGGAATGGGTATGAAAGAGATAAAGATCAGAATTAGGGGGTATACAAGGGAGTGGACAAAATTCGGAGGCGTAGAAGGGATTGGCTAAATTTTTAGAGGCATAGAAGAAATTTTCTCAACTATTTACCGCTTTTGTCAACGTTGAGCCGGACGGACGGGGGCATCTACTATACAACGGTTGGTTCGATTGGAAATTATTGTTTTTTTTTCTCCTAGTAATGACCTGAAATCGAGCGTGAGAACCAGCCCACTAGGTCGCACAAATACAAAGGCCGACCTAGTCTAAGGAAGGCCGGACTAAACAATTATTTTTATATATCTATGATTGTTCGATTCGATTAAGTTGTTTTCAACTTTTTGATAAAGATTCAGCCACCAATCCTGACCGTATCATCTTTTGAAAAAAATAAGACCTGAATTCAGTGATTTGGCTTGATCAAGTTTTTCTCTAAAAGGGCAAAAAAAAAAACTGAATGAAATGTTATCAGTTTTGTCTGGACAGGATAAAATCGAGAGTAGAATTTGGCCAAAAAAAAAAGGCCAAATGGAACAGCAATGAAAAGCTGCAGTGCACTTGAACTTGAACCAGGTGGAATAGAGATATCACTCATTGCTTTCAATTATTATCTGAAAATGAGAGTTCGACCAATGGCGATGACAGATCCCTTCTTGGATAAGCACATGACAAAGCAAAGGACTTCTAGGTCAAGAGAGGATAATTAATAATAGGCAAAATTGGTTATATAGCATCGAAAGTTCACGTTTTTGGTTTTATAGCACCGAAAGTTACCGGTTCACTTTAATAGCACACAAAGTTCACCATGTTTCCATTTTTAACATTTCCGTCAATTCTCGATCGTTTTCCGTCCGTCTTGATCGTTATTGATACAGCCACACACACGATATGACGTTTCTACCCCTCACAAGTACAAGTATAATGCATGTCAATGAGGGGTAGAAATGTCATATCGTATATGTCTGGATCAATACCGATCAAGACGGACGGAAAAATTAACGGAAGTGCTAAAAATGGGAATAGGGTGAACTTTGGGTGCTATTAAAGTGAACCGGTAACTTTCGGTGCTATAAAACCAAAAACATGAACTTTTGATGTTATATAACCAATTTTGCCATAATAAAAGACCATACGTGTGGTGGATACATACAATTGGCTATTGGAAATAGGAAAGGCAACGTTCCCACGATTACTAAACTCTTATCTTCCACAACTCAAGCAAATCACGCAGCGTTCCATGAACCACACCTTCCTTGGGGAAACAGGCCACCACAGCATCAGAAATGCATTCTACAGCAAGATTTAGCATCTTCCTTAAGTTTGACAATACCTTTCTTCCAGCAATCAAATCTCGAGTCTGCTCTACCGATCAAGCAAATTGGTTCCACCGGTTTTCACTACCTGCTTAAGCAAACAGTTAACAGTTAACGGACGGCAAGTCGGCAACTATACCAAGAAAAACAGTTGGAATAAAATCCTGTTGAGCCTAGCTGCACCTGATAAGAAAGCTAATAACAGAACTTGAAACCACAAGAACACTCTATATATTTCTATCATGCTAAAAATAAGTGAAACCAAAGCAATATGAATTGCAAGGTAGTGTAGTGTTGAAATGACTGTAAAAAAATTGGTACTGCTGGCAGTGATCGCACGGGCATGTCAACTGAGATTTTAAACACTGCAGTAAATTTGGTCAGGCTCAGGGAATGAAAATGTTAGGAACCAATTGCAACTTCTCTCGAGTCAGTACTTATGTTGTTAGTTTCATAGTATCTTGTTTTTTGAACGACGTTGGTTTCATAGTATCATAGCAATAGAAAGGATTCTTTTCAGTTTTTTACTCTAAGAGGTGAACAATATAAACATCAAAAGCCTATAATTAACATTTACCAGACTGTAAACAGGAAATCAGTTGAATCCAACGTTACTACTTGCTACATCAGCAAAGCCAACCCAAATACATCACTGGTGAGGAGCATAGGATGCCTTTTCAGTGCCTTGTTGGTCCAAGGCATGACCAAACCCCAAACAACCTACAGTTCTCAAGAATGACCTTTTTATCTAATCCGTTATTAAAGGAGAATGAACCAACTGATGAGGATTTAACCACGGAATGAAGATTATTAACCCAGAGTGGCGAAGAAAACATAGGTGGGCTCAAAACTCAGCCAACCTACACAGCTGATGAAATTATAAGTTGTTGCCAAATGACTACACCGCAATGATAAACTGACAGAGAAGGAATAGCTAACAGGATCTCCCTAGCACAATGGAACATCAAGATGGCAGATTGGCAGTCATTGTAATTCCTCATCGACGGAAACAACAGTTCTTGATGCCATTCCATATCATGGAAGTTGAATTCAGAATTATCAATAGTGACCCAAATAGAGATGTGTTTATAATCTTAATGTCAACTGTCCGTGCAATCACATATTCATGTCATACCAATATCCCCATATCTCCAAACGAATCCATGTCATAGTGCTTAATCCCTCTTAAAGAAACAAGCCAGGAACGTGTTGCAGCTAAAAAATAATCTACAGAGCAGAACGATTCGCTAATTTACATTCTAAGGCAACCTAATGTAGGATCAAGTGATAGTGATCTTGTCTGAGAAAAGGGGGCACGAACCCTAGGGTTGGCGAAGACCGGAGGGGAAAAGCGAGGCGGCTTTTGTTGACGGCACGGCGGTGGCGGTGGACGCGGGAGTAGTTGCGGCGGTCGGAGGAGCCGCCGAGGAGAGCTCGCGGACGAGGGCGGCGAGGGCCTCGGGGTTGGCGCCGCGGTCGCAGAGCGCCATGAGCAGCGAGAGCGTGTGGCGGTCGAGGCCGGTGTCCAGGATCTGGGACATCTGGAACGCCAGCTCCAGCGACTCCTTCGCCTGCCTTGCCGCCGCAGACTCCGTCCCCGTCTCCGTCTCGTGCGGCGCCATCGATCACCTCCGGCCTCCGGTGGGTGGTGGGCCTGGACCTTCGCGGTAGAGGAGGAAGACAAGGTTGCCGTCGCAGTTGAGGGTGGCGCGGCCAACCTCACTCACTGCTCCAGATCCACTTCACTTCCGGGCAGGTATTGGGCCGCAACGCCTCGTCCTCTGCCTAGCAACCGCCGCCAACACCAAGCAGGAGCTCCTGATACTGACTTTGTGCTACTTTTTCTGTCCCATAATATACTATAACAGACGAGACACTTCGTAGTACAATAAATCTAAACATACTTTCTGTCCAGATTCATTATACTGTAAAGTGTCACATCCAGTCTTAGATTGCTATATTATAAGATGGAGGAAGAATGACGAGTAAGTTGATTGATAATGCAGGAACTGTAAAATGTCACATCCAGTCCTAGATTGCTATATTATAAGATGGAGGAAGAATGACGGAGTAAGTTGATAGATAATGCCGGAGTTCCGGTTGCGTTATAGGATGCATCTCAATGTTCTCGTAGTAGGAAGAATCAGAGTACGCATGTTGTTAGTTGAAATTTTTCTATATGCACTTATTAGGAGGGAGAATCAGGTATGCATGTTGTTAGTTGCTAAATACTCCCTCCGTCCCATAAAAAACGAATCTAAGATCGGATGTGACATATTCTGTTACGATGAATAAGGGCATATGTATGTCTAGATTCGTAGTACTAGATTGGTTTTTTATGGGACGGAGGGAGTAGCTATATGCAAAAAAAAAAAAAAAAATTGTTCTATATGACATATCGTGGATGCCTTTGGAGAGAACAGAACCTTGTTTGGAATCTTTGGATTTTCACACGAGAACACCTTCATGCTGATGGGTTCAGTAAAACACATCAACCATCGGTAAAACACATCAGCCATTGATACGTTTCTGATGGAAATAATTTTAGGAGTTTGTATCACACTATCACTGTATGGTTCCTACGTATGATGAAGATTTTTTTCATGCAAACTGCCTTCTGAAAATTATTTTTGGTATGATGTTGTTGTTTGCTGAAAGATGTTACTCCTATATCGTCAAAATGGCTAACAGGCGATAGATGCCCCTAGTGCGCCCCTCCTTCTCCACGTGGTTTCCTTTTTTTTTACCGCATTACTTTACTATTTTAGTAAATTTATGCACCTAAAGTTTGTACACCTCAAGTTTACACATCCAAAGATTAGAGACCCAAAGTTTATAAATCAAAAGTTTATATATCCGATTCAAATTTGAATTTAAATTCAAATATTTTTTATATATAGTATTTCTATATATCTAAAGTTTATACACCTAAAGTTTAAAGGCCCAAAGTTTATAAGTCAAAAGTTTATATACCCGATTTAAATTTGAATTTGAATTCAAATATTTTGTATATATAGTATTTCTATACATATAAAGTTTATACACCTAAAGTTTATAGACCAAAGTTTATAAGTCAAAAGTTTACATACCCAATTCAAATTTGAATTTGAATTCAAATATTTTATATATAGTATTTCTATACGTCTAAAGTTTATACACCTAAAATTTATGAGTAAATTCCCTGTATGCACCTCAAAACTTACTCAATCCCTTTTATGCCCTCCAATTTTGACCAATCCCCTGTGTGCCTTCGAGATTTCGCTGTGATCCCTCCCATCCCTACCATTAGTTCTCACAGCATTGAGTGGTTAATTTACCTGGAAATGTCCACTGTGCCCTTAAGAGTGCAATTTGAGTTCTTAGTGACCGATTGTATTTGAGAGGTTGAGAAAGATTGAAATATCAATGAGTGCATCATATACTATGAGACTGAGTAAAAAGTGCATAGAAAATTTATAGAATGGCCAGCAATTTATAGAAATTTTGACAAGGCACTACATGGATCATCCATGCGCACTCCACTGTGTGGATCATAAGCATCATGGCCATAAAACGAATGCAAATGACAAACTAAAAGAACAAGGCAAGTACTGTGTATGTTAACCAAGGTTGTCATTATGCTAATTTTCTCATGATAATGGAGAAAGGCACACACTAAGTAAATGCCATCACATGGCCAAATTACACAGTAATATAAACAGTACCCATGGCACATCGCACTAAATGTCTGAAAAAGCGAACATAACAGTGATTTATACCTGCACATCTTGCATTCCCTTCTCAATATCAACTGTCAAGAAGAAGAGAAGAAATCATACACATCTACATATGAATGAAATCAACCTAGTCGGATGGGAGCAGTAGGGGATAGAGCTCGGGAGCCAGCAGCAGCCGCCGCTGAGACCTCTCAACAAGGCGGCTGCTGCCTGGGCCACTGCTGCCGAGATCTTGAGCAACCAGGACAGCACCTGCAGCGTCGATTGGCTGCCGTCGCTAGGGCCGAAGGGAGCCGAAGCCACCGTCGCCGGAACCGATGGGAGCCGAAGCCGCCGCCGCTGCCGCCGACGAGAGCTCGAGGGCGACAGGACCGCTGGCGCCGAATCGACGGCGGGGATGGGAGCGCAAGGCCGGTGGCCACGGGAGGAACGGTGGCGACGGCCGCGAAAGGACGGCGGCGGCGCACAGCGCCGGCTGCGTCGAGGGGAGGCGAGAGATTGGAGATTATTTGGGGATTTCTCACTGTTGCTGCCTTGCTGGTTGTTACCTAGGTTTTCGTTGGGCATTTTGGTCTTTTTTTTTAAATTACTGACAACGTAATGGATGTATGACTAACAGAACTAACAGATGCCTAACGGTAGGGATATGGGAGGGAACATACACAGGGAATCGGTCAAAATTGGAGGGTATGGAAGAGATTGAGTCAGTTTTGAGGTGCATACAGGGAATTTACTCAAAATTTATAGACTCAAAGTTTATAAGTCAAAAGTTTACATACCCGATTCAAATTTGAATTTGAATTCAAATATTAGTTTATAAACCCAAAGTTTATAAGTCAAAAGTTACATACCCGTTTCAAATTTGAATTTGAATTCAAATTTTTTATATATAGCATTTCTATACATAAATTTTTTCAACTTTGTTTTTTTTTAAAAAATTATGGTGAACTGTAGTAGGAAGAGAAGAAGGGGAGGAGGAAGGGGGAGAGGAAGAGCGTATAGGGGGGAGGGACGGGTGATCGCTAGGAAGGAGAGGGAAGCGATCACCCGCCCACTAGCAATACCCCTATATTGTTCCATTCTCATAAGCTTGCTTCTAAAAATTATTTTTTTTATGATGCTGGTGTTTACTGAAAGATGTATGCTGATGTTTAATGAAACTTAGCACTTGTTTTCTATTGATTCCTAGGGCTACGTGTTTGTAGAATCAGTCTATCCGACCTATAGATACACTTTTCATATCAGTGATGGCCTTTCTAGAGGAGCTGGGTGTTGGGCCATGGTTGCGCTAGCGATCGGCACGTGAGGGGAGTATTTGCCCGGATTTCTCGCCCTAGTATCCTTATCGACGCATTCATGATATCTAGATTAATTCAACTGTCCGGAGGCATGGTAGAAGCACGCCCACCCCATGTGCGTATTTCATGACATGCTTTGGTCGCGGGTTTCTTTCTCGTTAGAAGAAGTTGTATCCGTCCCGGACATGTGCAATGCAGTGAGATCTTGAAATCTCATTAGTAAAAAAAATATTAAGGTTTTATATATGAAAATGGTATTAATAGAGCTGTTGCATAGTCGAGTAAAATACTTTTATGTAGCTATATTTTGTGAAAATGATATTAATAGAACATATCATAAGTTAAGATTATGAGCAAGCACGTGTAATGCTACTCCTAATTAATCAACTAATTAAGTTCTCCAGCTCTGTAAAGGCATCCACAATGTGATGAAATAGCAAGTAATAAGCTTATTATTAGGTATTAGCGGTTTTTGGTGGGTTTTATCTATTTTTTTAATTGTGCTATGGTTCATGTTTGGGGAATTTTTGTGGGTCCCACCTTATTACCCACTCTACATATGTACATTTAGGGATATCAATTTTACCTATGGGACCGGGTACCCACGAGTACCGCACGTACCACACGTAATGGGTATGGGTGTGGGTTAGATTTTATGCCCTTGGGTATGGCCGATCCAAACCCGATGTATTAACAGGTGTGGCGTGGGGTTTATTCTATGCACATGAGTGTTTCGTGGATACCCAAATATTTATGTTCATACATAAACTTTAGAAGATTGTGTGTCAACAGTCAACACTAACTAAAACATAAAACATAAATATGTAAGTGCAACAAAGTCATATAGTATTAATGGTTTAATCATTTGCTTTCTTTCTTAGTGACGAAATAATTTGTGATTACAGAATTTATGGATTTTGATTCATATTTAATGGCTATGCTCGGCTGGCGTTTACCACGGCTGCACTGCGACTAGCTATAGCAGTGAGCAGCCGTAGCGCTGCCACATGAATGGCTTCCGAACACGCCAATACTTTATGAATAATTATAACGTGTAGTATTGATTGTTTATGGTTTTATAGTTAATGGCTAAACATAGATGTTAAAAGTAATAGTTTATATGTATATGTTGTTGGAAACCTATGGTATATGATACTTGACGGGCATGGACATGGGTTTTTATTTTACGCCTGATGAGAGTAGTGGGAACGGGCGGGCGAGTAGTTTTGGGTCTTGGGCCAGGTATGTTCGATCCGCCCAAACCTAACCCGACTCACTGATGTTCCTATATACGTAGTGATGTCTTTTCAACTTATTATTATCATCTGACGGACAAACGTTGCTAGCACCTAATTTTGCAATAAACATTGAGATGCCCTAAACTGGATTAGGCGTACTGGCATGTGGGCGTAGTCACTGCATGTGGGCCAGCTCTAGAGATTTCTGGCTCGGTCCAGGATTTCACCGCACTTCGCACAGGCGCACCGAGCACAATACGCGAACGAAGGGAAAAGAAACCAGAGCTTACCCACCAGGCGCTTTGCGGCCAGCGACGACGAGGACGGAGGCGAGGCGCGCGCCGCGGCCGGAGATGTCGCAGAAGCGGCAGCCGGAGGAGAGCAGCGGCGGCGTCGGCGGAGGCATGGGACCCCCCGTCCCGGCCGAATCCGGGGCCGGGAGTTCCTCGCCGCCCCACCGCCGCGGGGAGCCCAAGCGCCAGAGGGTCCCCGCCCTCCGCGAGTATGCCCCCCCTTTCCGTTCTCTTGAGAGCTCGATTGGAACCCCCATGGTTGTGTTTGTGTGGCTGGTTATCTGATTTGGTGTCAGTGGTGGCTTTGCCTCCGCGCAGGGTGATCACGGAGGTGATGCGGAAG